CCATCTCCTACCTACTACCCTCATCCCACCCCCTTGACCTGTCCGTCCTCCCTGGACTGACCTATCTCATCCCTACCTCCCCACCTACACTCACCTCTACTGGCTCCATCCCCGCCTCTTTGACCTGTCTGTCTCCTCTCCACCTATCTTCTCCTCTATCCATCTTCTATCCGCCTCCCCCTCTCTCCCTGTTTATTTCAGAACCCCCTTCCCCTCCCCCCATTTCTAAAGAATGGTCTAGGCCCAAAACATCAGCTTTCCTGCTCCTCTGATGCTGCTTGGCCTGCTGTGTTCATCTAGCTCTACACCTATTTATGATAGAAAACACAGGCCAGATACCTGTACTTAAGAAGAAATTACTACTTGATACAGGTCATGAGATACAGTTAAACAATTAAACTGAATTTAGTAAACTGTATAAATTAAAACTCTAAACTGTTTATAAAATCCCCTTCACACACACACACACACACACACACACAGCTAAATATAAACACAGGAAGAATAAAGACATATGCAGAGGGAAAATTGGAAATATAGGTCTGTAGTCTTTGTTCACAATACCAGTTGGATGGTTCTTGCTGAGTTGAAGGTCTTTTCCACAACCTTCCTATTTCTGAAGGCTTCTGCAAGTTTCTAAAAGGCATAGGATGGTGGTATGAATGATCTCTGACTTATCTATTAAAAGTCATAAATTGCATTAACTGTTGAAAGATAGATAACCTGATTTCCTTCTGGATTAAAGTGGTTTACTTCAGAAAACTGAGAGAGAGTGTTATTTTTGGCTGCTGCAGATCTGCTGGTAACTCATCTGGTCTATACAAAGCTTCTTGCTGCCTTGTTCTCAGTCCAAGCTGCACAGCAAATTGACAACCAGTTACGTTGTTGGCAGTACAAGGCCCTTGTGATTGATAATTGATCCGTCATTCACAAACCAATGCTTCATTTGGAAATAATCCCTTGGCTCCAGTTCATGTGCACGTTGCTGGAACCCATAGCTACACAAACATTGTTCCCAAAAGGTATCAAATTTCTTACTTTCAAAACATGCAGCAATCCTTGTAAATCTGTTGGTATCAAAACAGCTACTTCTAATTTCAATTGACTGTTTTAAAAAGAACAAAAAGTAGAAAGACCATTTTACAAAAGCTATAGACTAAGAGCTGGAAAGTGGCATTACACTGGATACATTTTTTGTCTGGCACCAATACTGTGGGCTGAATTATTTATATGGTGCTGTAAACTCCTGTGCTTTTGTGAAATTCCAGGCTATCATGCAAAAGATATAGCTTGAGACTTTCGCTGCAACAGTGTAGGATTTGAGACGAAAGACTCAGCAGGAACTTGAGATAATGTGAGGAAACTACTAACAGAGCAATACTTCTCTTCACAGCATAATCACACAATGACATGTTACCGTAACCTCAATGTGTCTGTTCTCTATTTTCTTTCATCCTTTCTTTGAAAGGATACCTTACATCACAATTTCACTACCACGTAAATGGACAGCAGAGGGGAAATACAATAATTCCAAGCAACTGATTTCCATTTCATCCTTCAGATTGAGTATTATTTAAAATCTCCTTTACTTGAGGACGTTAGAATCAAAGCAGTGTTAATTCTTCCCACGGCTAGATTGCTGTAATAATATTTCAGAGATTGTTTGCCCAGTGGTTTGCCAGTTTTTTGCAAATTGGTCTTTCCCTGGTGAATGACACTGATGTTAGTTTTCAGTATGCTTGTGACAATATAGACTTATTCGGTAGTTTCAAGTTTGGGCTGATGGTGAATGGAACGAGTTTCAGAGTTAT